AACAATTTACAAAATCCGCAAAATACAGAAAATTTAGGTTGGAGGCTGTACGGATACTTAAGTCAGTATTAATAATTTTATATATAACTATACAATTAGAACCCAAAATACAAAATTACAGCCAAATTGGTTGGAAAACGTGTTTCAAATGTTCAATATACCGAATATTGATATGAGGGCTATCCATGCATTATTATTAATAATGTTTAGTATGGAAATGTACTATACAATAATAACCCAAAATACCAAATTATAGCCAATTCGGTTGCAAAACGTGCCCAGAATCCCCAAAATACCGAATATTGGGGAAACGTTATATGGGGGCTACACCAAAACGTGTACCGATATATCCCATTTGCAATACCAAACATCCTAGGACCACTAGGCCTAGTCTGTGCAAAATTTCAAAGCTCTATTTCTAATATTGCGATATCTATCGAAATCACGATAGACAGATGGACATGTTGCAATATTAAAAGAAGGACTTAAGGGACCCAACAGGGACCAACCCCCCATTCTTGATTTTAAATTTTCAAGATTTTCAATGGGCTGGTAAATCAATACTAAAGCTTGTTAAGGCTTCTAAATTTGCAGATATATATTTGAAGATTTAAAGGAGAAGGGAAATAATTTACAAACGTTTTTTTGTTATTGTTTTGTTGTTGTCTTCTGGGATTAAAGAAAAGTCCTTATTTTTGATGACGGGCATGATAACTCCTCACTGGAACATCGGAATCCAAAAAATTACATCGGTTTTAGAAAGGGTACATTTCTGGCTCTCGTATTAACAACAACCAAATGACGGCTCTTTACTAGTATAGTTTTAAAAATCGGAAGATGTTGACCGATTGGATTTATACTAGTTCATACGATAGATATACACTCACAGAGAAATGTTCCAAAATTTGGAATCGATCAGATTATTATATTTGTTTGGAGAAAAATGAGTTTAAGGTTTGATAAGCCCTCTTGTCGTCACTTGATGCCAGCACATAAATCGGCTATATCTGCAAGAGTTGTTGAGATTTTCACTTGAAATTTCATAGGGCCATTCTAGAATTAGAGTAGATTCGAATTTAATCAAAATACAAAATTAATTTTTTTGAAAACGAAAATGGGGGGTCCTCTTGGACCACTTTAAAATAAAAGCACTCAAATATTGGCCATGCATTATCACGACAGTCATTCAAGTTTGGTGGTCAGATAACCTTTTCCATGGAAAATTTGTAACAATCGGCTTGTAATTGTGGCGTCTAGAGCGACTGGACAAACATAATGTTTGCGATCCAATCCATCCCTGAAGTATCATAATCGAAAATAATAGGGGTCTTTGACCATAAGCGGAACCTCATGCAAAATCGCCTAGCCATCAGTTCGAAATGTCTGCCCTCTAATAATGTTTATGTTAATACTAAACAATATCAGAATAAGAATAAAATTTGTATCAATTTAAAGGCCAACCACTACAACTTCAGGAGTAAATATATAGGTCATAAAATATAAAATTTGTAATTTTTCATACAAGGGTTATTCCATGGCCCCACATACTTGGGTCATATTTGCGAGCAAAAAAAAAAAAAAAAAAAGAGAAAAATAATGTTTTCGGTCCAATTTTTCCCTTTAAAATTAACCGATCAAGCGGGTGGAAACACATGTCTAGATCAAATGGCAGATAGTCGAGATATGGCTATTTTTATTTTTCAGTACGCTATGCCAAATTTCGTGCAAATCGAAGTACATAGTACATAAAATCGGGCGAAACAATACATGGAAGCTATATCTATATCTGAACCGATTTTTCCCAATTCAATAGGGTTCATCCTTGGGCCAAATAAATTAGCTGCGCCAAATCTTATCCAAATCGGATTATAAATGCAACCTGTACTTTGTTTACAATTGAACATCAACAGACGGACGGACATGCATAGATCGACTCGGAAAGTGATTCTATGCATATTTCTTTTGCCTGTTACAAACATATGCATTATATAATTATACCCCAGACACTACACTGTAATTATAGTCAATTCAGTTGCAATACAGTTGCAATCGGGGACAACATTTGCGGTTTGAGGCGTTTTTTTTTAAAGTTTCAAAGAAATATTATGATGTATATTGTCGGCCAAACAGACGGGAAATATTCCTAATATTGGAATGTTTGTGCGGAAAACAAATATAGCAACGAATTTAAATTTAGAGCAAAAGGGCTAAATCTCTAATTCTATGTAAATTTTCGCGACAGTTGCTCCATATTTGAGCCTTTTAATAATAAACAATATTAGAATATGTAGATTCCTGTGAGTATTTGAGTATATCCGACATATACGTAAATAATTAATAGTCAAAATACCTTCTATACTATGTTGGATTCTGCTCCAGACCCTGTTTTCATCTATAAAATTAATTTGATATACTGTCAAATTCCTTGGTCTATGCCTTTTCAAGTAAATATGCAATTTTCTTAATTTTTCACAAATAAGTCTTGGTCTATTTGAACCGTTAAATATTGATCGATCGTTATGAGAACACCCATACTTATTCGCTGAACAGATCACCTTCCTCGAGTAAAATGTCATGATGTTCGGGTTATAATTTTGATCTCTGCAGCGATTAGAAGAACACACAAAAATAAAGTTTTTCGTCCATATGGCCCCTGAACATTAACCAATTATAACCAAAAACCAGTGCCGAAACAACATGAGAAATTTCACAATTAGTACATACCACGATTGACCTTAAACTGGACAGACGGGCGAAGTATGATGAACGGTATACTAAAATGTATGAATTATGAATATATTAGGTTGGGGGAAAATAAATCCATTATTTTTGTATGAATTATAGGAATTTATTTAACATGCTTCGGAATGTCCGATTTGCACCGTTTTGTTATATGATTTGTTGCCATTTTAAAGGTAACTTTATAATACCTCTCTCATAGATGTCCTGCTCTATATTTGCAAAAAACTCTAGTAGTCGATTTTCCCAATACTCCCTAGATACTCGGCGGACAATGCCATACATTCCCCACTAATAAGTAGTTGTTTTTTTTATAAAAACAACAAACTGGGATTAAGCCTGACTATTTTGCAAAAACTAATTTTTTATCACTAAAGAAATTTTTGCAATGTAAGAAAAATATGTTCATCGCATTAAAAGTTCCCAACCAAGCTCCGGGAGTTTCTGGTGAGCCACTCTAGATGTGTATGGTCTAGGGTGATCCTGGTGGAACACAACACCTCTTCTGTTGGACAATTCTGGTCAATTGCAAATGGTTTAAAACAGTTTTATGGTCGATTTTTTGTTCCTGGGCGATGTTACGACATCTAACATGCCGGTCAACTTCGGTAATTTCTCCGATTTTATCGACATTTTCGACGACTGACCTACCTGTGCGAGGTGCATCTTTAACATCAAAATTCCTGAACGGAATTGCACGTAATTGGATGTTACAGTATTGAAACCAAAAAGACCGTTCACAATTTTAGCCGCTTGGATTTACTGCGAAATGTCGCCCTTCCAACGAGCATAAATCTGAAATTGTTTGATCGATACTTTACGAGAAATCTATCAGTACAGCCATCTGCCGAAAAAAAATTGGATTTATTTTCTCCCAATCGAATACTATGAACTATTTTAAGTCGTGTAAATCGTGTAAATCGATATAATTCTCTAATCTTTAACATGAGAATTTAAACCATCGTGTATAAGCGAACTTGCGCCAAAAATTATTGTGTAAATCAAGTGATAGGTGAATGAAAAAATATCAGGTTAGCGAACAGCATTTGCAGCGACATAAAGAAATCCGAAGTTTAGAAATATAAGAAGGGAACTTGTTGTTGGAAATGATTGAAACAAATGCAATGCCTAAGAAAATTTTAAATATCCCGGGAAATTTTACATTTATAATTCAAAGAGAATATATGATGAATTTTAGGTTATGAACACAAAACTGTCTGAGTATGGGTTTGAGAAGAAAACGTTGACGAAAAACCAGTCCAATTGATAAATAGCTGACTATTAAATAAGTTACCTTAATAAATAAAAACATGTAACAGTACAAAATGTTGCAACACTAAACATACACATACATACATCCACGATGTACATAAATACAAATAAATTAATTATCTTACATTGCTTTTATATACAATTATATGTAGATGGAATGACTTTTTACGTTTTATTCTTTGGTTGTTTTGCTTTTTCCTTAAGTCATTTACATCAGAAGGACGACACTATACTTAGATTAAAGCTAACATTAATTGAGTGAGTATTGCTAATTTTTGTTTCTCTTTGGTTTGGTTTTTTAGATTAATAGGAACTTAACATAGAGGAGAGGAGAAAGAGGGGAATAAATTGGATTTTCAGTATATTTTTAATTCAATATTAGAATAGGAAAATTGAAATATTAGTTTTAAGGTTATCAAGGATATGGACAAGTTCGTTTTTCATTCTTACACTTAGTTTGCTTAAAAATATTTTCTAAGATTTTCTTGTTCTTCCAATGGTTTTGCATAAATATTTTTTTCTTTTTTGTTTGTAATAAATTAGCTACTTACTGTATATATGTATTATATAATGTATAGAAATGATTTGTTTAACGCTCACCCTGTAATCCAGTTACTTAACGTGGTTGTAGTAGTTGTTGTTGTGAAAACCATGACGACGCCTAATGATGATGAGGATGATATAGAGGTTAGTGATGATATGCTGAATGGATGATTATGTTGCTATTGCTCTGTTGTTGTTATGATATCCTGTCTTTTTCCCGTTCCCATTTCCGTTTCCATTTTTTTGTTGCTGTAGTTGTCGTTTCTTATTCTTAATATTTTTTTTAAACCAATACTGTTTCCATTTGTTTATTATCACCATATTTATTACTGCCATCCAGTGACTCTACCACAATTGTTGCAGATGCCACTGTCACCGAATCTCAGGGTCCATATGGTGTTATGGTCAGCGACGCAGCATCCGATGCTCGCGATACACAACATGCCAATGTTGTGCCATACTCGTGACTGGTATTGCTGCTATTGCGTTTTGGTCATATTGCAGATACCTGTTCCAATTCCGCCGACGAACGGCCCGAATGCATGGCGACAACATGTTTTGCCGCATAATCCGTAACAAAACGATCACTGTTACGTGGATGTATATTGCCGATGTCCTGATTGCAACACCACGGATTTCGTGTTGTCAAAATTCGCTTGAATGCATCACGGAACTCTTTGTTGAATATGGAATAGATGATGGGATTAAAGGCCGAATTGGAGTAACCCAGCCATGAGAGTATTTTAAAGGTTTGACCACCTATACAGGTTTTACAAAAGGCGGCCACAATGTTCACACAAAAGAACGGCACCCAACATATAAGGAACACACCCATTATCACGCCCACTGTAACGGCTGCCTTGTGATCCGATACATGATAGGGTGAGCTATGATTTAGATTGCGGACTTTGAATTTTTTCTTTTCTGGTGGTTTGGTTCGTCGTATACTTTTGTAACGTTGCTTTTCGGCCACCTCACCTGGCCGGGTAACGGCTTTAATCGATTTTACGTGCTTCTGGGCATAACAGTAGAGGCTGTAAAAAAAGGGGGAAAACAGAAAAACGAAAGTTAAAAATATCTCAAAAGGAAAAGGGAGTCCAATCAGCTATTAAGCTGTTATTTTGTGTTCGTCGAACATGAAAAAAGCGGTAAAATACGAAAGTCGCACACAAAAGCAAATCGACTTTTTAATGTTGCCAATACTTGTGGCGGATTCGTAGAAAAAGAACAACTTCAATGCCATCAAATTCAGGCAATTTCACAGAAAACTAACGAAACAAAGTGGCAAATTACTTTGGTTTCCGCAGCTTTCAATACAATGACCCGCATTTCGTGGGGTTGATAGTTGTCTGGTTTAACCACAAAACTTATTCAACTATCAACTCATAATGAAATATTGACTAAGGAAAAATAAAAATACAGTTTCTTACAAACCTTTCAGGCAGTCATATAGTCTTCAATGCATCTACACCGAGGGTTCCGAAACATCCCAAGAAGTTTTCTTTAAAAAAATACGCATATGGCTCCCATGAAGCTTTGTTTAGAGAAATTATGCCTAGGTATTACAAAGCCCAGATAATACGCTTTAAAAATCCACACTTAGGTCTTCGAAATATTCGAAGAGGCTATGCTATAAAAATGCACGTCTAGATTTTGAAAGCTCCCTGGAGGCTATGCTTTAAAAATCCAAGCCAGCTCTTGCAGTGTTTGAGAGAAAAATTCTCCGAAAGATCTATGGGCCGATCTGCGTTGACGGTGAATATCGCTGTACCAGCTATTCTCGGACATCGTCATTGTTAGACGTATTGAGCTGCAGCGCTAGGTCATGTTGTGAGAATGGATGAAGATTCCCCAGCCCAGAAGGCGAAACCAGCTGATGGTTCGCGCAGAAGGGGAAGGCCACAAAAGACCGACGCGCCTGGAAATCTTTTCTAAGCTCGGCCTATGGAACGAAAATTATGTCACAAGCCAGCTAAGTAAGTAAGTAAGCTCTTCGAAAATCACCAAGAAGCTTTAAAAAATCTATGCTTTAAAATCCAAGCCTAGCTCTTCGAAAATCTCCAAGAAGCATTAAAAAATCTATTCTTTAAAATCCAAGCCTAACTCTTCGAAAATCCCCAAGAAGCTTAAAAAGGTATAGGAATTCGAAAATCCGCAAGAGGGAATGCTTTAAAATTCAACGCGAAATTCCCAAATCCACGCATAGGTCATCGAAAGATCCCAAACGGCAATTTTTTAAAATCCACGCATATATTTTCGAAAGTCCCCAAGAATCTATGCTTTAAAATTCCACGCGAAAGTTCCAAATCCACGCATAGGTCATCGAAAGATCCCAAACGGCAATGCGTTAAAATCCACGCATATATATCCGAAAGTCCTCAAGAATCTATGATTGAATATCCACGCCTAGAGCTTGGAAAGCCCCAAGAATCTTCGAAAGTCCCCAATAATCTATAATTTAATAACCACGCCTAGAGCTTGGAAAGCCCCAAGAATCTTCGAAAGTTCCCAAGAATCTATGATTTAATATCCACGCCTAGAGCTTGGAAAGCCCCAAGAATCTTCGAAAGTCCCCAAGAATCTATGATTTAATATCCACGGCTAGAGCTTGGAAAGTCCCCAAAAATGATATAAAAATCTACTACTAGGGCTTCAAAAATTCCCAAAAAGCAATGTTTTCAAAATTTCTCGGACTACGAAAGTGCCCAATAAGCTCAAAGCTATCCTTTAAAACTCCATTATTCTTTAAAAATCCGCTCCCAGAGCCCTAAAGGTTCCAATAAAGCTATCCTTTAAA